TGATTGATGGTTGTCTGATTATGTGGGTGCGGGCAAGAGAGCTGTCACCCAGGGACTTCGTAGCTTATACTATTATACTGTTGTACTTCTTTACTTAAAAGCAGTATTCAAATACACTGATAGTGAAAGGTCCATTAAGAGTAACCATTATTTAAATTACAAAAAGTTATTTTTACAGATCTCTATCTAATTAAAAGTGACGAATTGACAGTCACAGGTAGGTTCCTTTTAAAAATACTCTTGAATTAGCCAGTTTTTAAGTTCTGTAGTAGAGAGTTCCACATTTGTGCTCCCTGTACAAAATCGAACCTTTGTAGCATTCCGTTTTTGGATCATGTGATATTTCTGGAAAAGCAATGTCTGATTGCACAAGGTTCCTGTAGTCTTGATCACCGCCATCAGAACATTCCCCTGCATCACCTGATTGGTCCTCATCCATGTTTTGTTCATCATCACTTATATATTATCATGATCATCTTCATTCTCATCCAACATCTTTTCCCAGACATCCATGAACGGTGATGCCATGCTGCAGGAGTAATTTTATGATGGATCATCATTATAAAACTGTGCTAGATTCTTCAACATAATTTCCTTTTAATGATTAGAACCTGACTCAGTTGATATTATTTTAATTCACTGACATGACGGATCCAACTAGACTCTGTAAAAGCAGGGACTACCCCCACAGCAGAACTGCAAAGTTTGACTGAAATTGGGTTCACAGACGGAAGAGCAAGACTGCATGTCTACCTATACTTTGCAACAAGTTAGTCAAGCATGTTACTTAAGGCATGGTTTAATTTTTGGTCTTGATCCCCTGTGAAGAAGAAGCTGTTTTTCTTCTACAGCCACGCATTTTAATTCTAAAAGTTGAAAAAAACGGTCGGGATTTTTTCTTTTGAGGCATTGGATTGATGAGAACTGAACTGATGTGGTCACCTGAAACGTGACGTCAATGATATTCGAAAGAAAATTCAAATTGAGGTATTCAGGAATGGCTAATTACAACTATAATAACCCTGACTCATGTGTAAATTGTTCATTTTACCACACAAAATTTTTCCGTGGCTGATATCTCTTTAAGAGATTAAAAATGCTCTCCGTTCCAACAGATGAAAAGTGTCATGTGGCCCATTTTGCTTAATTACTAATTAAATAAAAGTGCTAGTCAACCAATTCTGGCCAGATTCATGCTTGAAACAATGGTACAATAACAAAAATACTGTATTTAATATCTATTGTGTGGCATCTCACCACCCCATTTTTGGTTTTCTCTTTTTTCCTGGACTTGCAAAAAGAAAGCCTGAAAAAATATTATAAAAAATTCCCCACTTAAGGCCTAGTGATGAGGAGCGTTGCATGATGAATCTAATAATGACTGTGAATGAGACTATATGGGTTGACGTGGTTGAGAAAAAAAAAAAGAGATTTTGCCATTTGTTACTTTATATTTTACCTACAATCTGGCCACATAGAATCTCAAAACGTTTCCCATGAAACACTCAGGTAAATCATTCAAAGTAACCTAAGCTACAACAAATCTTTGACTAGCCACTGATTTGTTTAAAATTCTTACAGTGCATCAAGCCAATTATTAATTGAGAATTAGCAGACAAATCCAATGCAAAATACCAGCCAAAAATATTAAAATTAAAAAAATGTATTTTTATGAAATCTCCAATAAATCCTTGCAAATCAAGTTATTTTTTGGGCCCTGAAACTCATCCATTCATTATAATCCCAGGCCCTCAAAACTCAAATGGTCCCTGAAAGTGTGTCTGCATGATCAGTGCGTGAATCCTCACCCACCCCACCCTCACCACTGTCCCTGCATGTGCAAGCACTTTTTTTGGACATGTACTGATGCAAATGTGTACGCAACTTACTCGGCTCTGAAGTTTCCGAATGTTGGGAATTGACGTTTCCGCTTCAAACAAAATCGGCATCGACTTTGACAACGCCAACACCTGGGCAACGTTCTGGTCCACACTCTGTCCTGTTCCTCATCAAACTTCTCCTTCTTTTCGACAAGTAGAGCCGGTACCTCAGGGTTGGTGTTTTCTTTAATAACTTGTTTCTCCTTTAACGCTTTTATCGGCGAGGATACAAACGTTAAAAGCTGAGGCATCGGCTCATTGCCAGGTTGCCATTCGCCTAATCTCTTGGCTTCTCAGTCTTGTCTGGCAGGCAAAGGTAAATGTAGCGACATCTAGTAAATCAGATATGCTATTGGGGAGTCTTTTTTTGGAAGATTTCTGGCACGAAGTTGAAGAACATGCCGCCATCGTGGTTCGATCACTGCTCGATCTTTCCTGGCTTTCAATACCTTGTTGGTTGTCTTTTGATTGGTACAAAAACTCATCACATCCAAATATGGAATTTGTCCGGAAATCCGGTTCTGTCACACGTGCATGGAAAATATTTGCATTGTAAAATTAAGCTTTATTCCGACAAAATGCTGTCGAGCAATCCACTTGCATTTTTGCGTCCTCTTTATGACATCACTGTGTGGCAGTTTCTGTTTATGTCTGGCCCGAAGAGTGTGCGCCTGAGAACCGGGCAACCTGATCATGTTAAGTTTACGTTTGGAATGCACAAGGTGGTCGCCAATTTTATCTGCAAACTGCTCGAGTTTCAAGCATTCAATCACTTGAAACAAAAAATTCTTGAGACGGAAGCCAAACAAGCTACTGGAAATTGGTCGGTTGGGGAACAGGCAACTGACAAAATGATTCATTGGTGCCAGGATCAATGGCGACGGAAGAGGCCTTGTCTTCCGGACACAGCAACGCCTTTCGCGGATAATGAACCGATGACTGTGGCATGGAACACCAACATTCCAGTCTGTTTTAACTGTGAAATTCCTTGTTCAAATTGCATGGAGGAATTAAACGAGGATATACCGATGGAAATGTCCACAGCAAGGGCATTGATGTCCTATGAAGAAATTCACCAACCAGCGGCTTGAGATCATCCTGATGATGGTCACCCTTCTAATGAAGAAGACATTTCAGACAACGAACTGAAACTCAGGGTCAGAGAAACACCACAGTTACGAATGCGTTTAAGATCAAGAAACAAGGTGAATTAATCCGTCAATCATTTCGAACAGCCGAAAAACAAGGAACAAATCCTAACACTAGAAAGAACACATTTTGCTCTTAATATTCGTTTGCACCTTCTTATAAATTTAAGTCACAGTTTAAAAAATGTCACAGTCAGTTCGCGTCATAGTCAGTGTAAAAACCTGTGACACTAATGAGTGACAAAAAACAATATTAACAAGTCACTGAGAAGTCAACACAATAGAGCCAAGGAAAATAATGGCCAGAAAACAACGAAAACCTTCGCAGCTATGGTAGTCAAATTGTAGCAAAATTCAAGAGAGAAAGTATATGTCAAAATCAACAACTTGATACCTAATTCAACAAATATTTCTCAACATCAACACCATTAACTTATCAACTTTAAGAACGTTATTTTCAATTCAACGATTTTTGTTCAACGTCAATGCATTCAGTTTTTCAACTTGAGCATTGCAATCAGTCTTAAATGAACAACGACAAATCGCCTCAACAAAAACCATGTTGCTTCACTATCAACTCTTTCTGATTTTCAAATTAAGTCACGAACCAAAAGCTTTCAAGATCAACAAACAAAAATTCGTGTCAACAAATTGGGTCCGAGTTGGCCCCTTGTTACCGCGAGGGACTTGGAAACTAAGTACCTGTCCATATGAGCAAGATTGCGAATGGCAGTGATCGCCTTGAGGTCCGTGGTACAGATAGCGAGTGGAGTTTATTCTTTACAGATTTAGATGAGTTGTTGTGTGAATATGAGCAGCATCAGTCAACGAGTGACATTTGTTTAAAGGAAAACGTAACTATTCGATTGGAAAATGCAGTCCAAGCTTTGCAAACTATCGCCATTGGTATCAGATGCCAACAGGGAAGCAGTTCTCGAAATGACCAGGAATTTTCAGTTGATGTTTTGGAACTCCTATCGAAGATGTGAATTTCCGAGTCGAACAAGATGCTCACAAGTAGCTGTTTTGTCACTTTCTTCACCAAATAGAGTAGTTAATGGACGAGTTGGAAGGCCAAAATATGACATAAAGGAAGAGACATTGATTGAGCTCCGTTCTCTGGGTTTCAGTTGGGAAGATATCGCTCGCATGTTGGTTGTCTCACGCTGGACAATTCACCGCAGAATATCCGAGTTTGGTCTCAACCACCTGCCACGCTTTAGTGACGTCACTGATGAACAATTGGATAGCAAAGTAAGCGCATTCCTGAGAGAACATGGCTGTTTAGTAGGTTCTTCGATGGTTTTAGGCCATTTGAGATCCGAGGGGTTAATAATATAGCGAGAGCGGGTATGTAAATGCCTTGCACGTGTAGACCCTCAGAATGTCAGAATACGTTGGGCAATAACAGTGTCAAGACGAGCATACTCAGCTGCTGAGCCAAACAGCCTCTGGCACTTAGATGGCCATCATAGCCTTGTTAATTGGGGGGTTTGTAATCCACGGCACAATTGATGAGTTTTCAAGATTGGTGACCTTCTTGCACTGCTCAACAAACAACAGAAGTAATACAGTGGGGAACTTGTTTTTGAATGCAACCCAGGTGTATGGATGGCCATCCAGAGTGCGAACAGATCATGGTGGAGAAAATAGGCAAGTTTGGCAATTGATTGAAGAGAGAAGAGGACCAAACAGGGGAAGCTGCCTGGTAGGTTCTTCGACTCATATTCAGCGAATTCAGCGCCTTTGGCGAGATGTCTTTAGATGTGTAGCACATATATTCTACTATACATTCTAAGCAATGGAAGAAAGTGGATTACTCCAGATAGATAACCCCCTGCACAAGTTTGCTCTTCATTACATCTATCTGCCACGCATAAACAGGGCACTCTCAAGTTTTACCTCTGCCTGGAATAATCATCCATTAAGAACAGAAAATAACTGGAGCCCTGAGAGGATTTAGGTTAATGGGATGATTGATGTGAGAAATCATCAATTGATGGGGGTTGCTGAGATTGTGGAACAAGAGCCATCTTTTGATGATTTATGTTGGTATGGCTATGACCCTTCAGCACCTCGTCCTATGGATGATGGATTGTCCACGGTTAAAGTTTGGGATGTAGAAATTGAAATTCCAGGAAATGTTATACACGATCTAAGAGCAACTATCAATCCAATTCAGCTGCCAAACAGCTATGGGATAGATCTCTTCACTGACTGTCTTAACTTTTTCCAATCATATTAAATCGTTAATTACAAGTAGAACTAACTAGAGCCTTAGTGGTCGTAGAGCATGTACTGCAAATTGATTTCCCATGATAAAACTGTAATTGCAGAGCTAACAGTTAAGGATTATCATGCAGTCCATAACCATGGAGTTTAATCTTCGGCAGTATTGTAGGCAAGTCAACTGAAACTTGCATGTTAGTTTTCCATAGTGCATGGCCATGTAGTCAAGACAAACTTGCTGAAGACTTTACAGGAATTATTCAGCCACCAAGACAATCAGCTGAAGGTTGCTGCTCTTAGTGGTTCAGGGGGGGGCTTCATTTAAAAAAACGTATATATCTGTAAATATATCCTGCAAACAGACTTGAACCTAAACAGTTCAAGCATACTAATAAATTCAAAAACTAGGAAAAAAACGTAGATCGCAGCAGTAAGATCAGAAAAACACAACAGTTAAAAAGAATTTACCCCCCTACTGTTAAGTTATTATCTTTATTAAATAACAAACCCAACAGTTACAAAGTGTTTTGAACCTAAAAGTGTCAGCAACATCAACGATAAAAATAAGTAGTTCTAATGAACATACTGTTGTGTCTCTTTCCTGTAAATTCATACAATAATATTTAAATTTCAATAAACACAACATTTGAATCTGACAAAAAGATTTATAAGAGTCTTAAGTGACATCATTTCTTCTCACTGTGATTTAAACTTGATTAACCATGCTTCCCTTTAAAGAATATTGCTTTAAGTTTTCAACTTGCCACCAAAATATGTATGTTGGTATTAAATTAGTTATCAATGTCAACTTTTTAAAGACAAATGAACATGCAAACAAAACAATAATTCATCAGAACAGCTGAGAGTAACAGGTCCTGGATTGCCGCTAAACTTTTTCAACCCCATTGAAAAAACTGCAACGATGCATCATTTGTCACAAAGGCAAGTTTCCTTACAAGTCAAAGATTAAGCTCCACATTAAGGACAAGCATGTCCTATTTTTACATAAGAAACATTCATGTGACCTGTAGTTGAAAACACGTCACTACATTTTGAGAACTGAAAGTGCAGCTGTACTTTTTACTCATTCCTCTGTGGTCTACCAATGAGTTTTTCTGTCTTTCTTAGCTCCTTTAGGTAGTGTTATTTTATCGATCAAGAATTAAGCTGTTGTGAATGAGGAACCCTCAATAACTGTTCTAATAGCTAAATCAAAGGCAGTATAATTCTGAAAATGGTTTGACAGCTTCAATTCAAGTAAACATGTTGATGCAAAAATGCTGTCACCACTATGGCAAGATACTGAAATACGATGTGGCAAGTTAGACATGGAAACTTCAGATGTTCCAGTAACAAACTTAAGAAAATTTTTTAAACCATCTAAAGATAGATTTCTTAAGAAAGTCTGTAGCATTTGGTAAACTCGGTCACCACTTGTCTCCAGGTCTCTAGACTCTTGAAAATGTAGACAGCTGATCACAAAATCATTGCTAAGGACACCCTGATGTAGCAAAAATTAATGATGAATTATGTTCCATCTCAGCTAGGAAGCCCAGGGTGGCGATACCTTTCCTGAACTGATCAAGGATAGATTTTCTCTTCACAAGTATGTCATGGAGCATCAACAACTGCAGTACACCAAGCTTATTAGGGACCTTAAGCAGCGACGACGAAGAGGATGACGACGACGGATTGTACCGCGTAGAGACTGGGACAGAATAGCTCGTTCATGGCAAGGAAAAGGCGGGAAAATAAAAACTTAAACTATGCTCGACGTACGACGTGAACGTAAACAAAAGCGCTGCAGTTTTTTGGTAAAATGGTTAATTTTCATGAGCTTCAAGAGCTTTTTCTCCTAAGTCACGCTCATGGCATTTTGGATGACGAAGAGCTGCTGATTTTGTACGAGGAGTATTGGCCAAAAAATCCCGACTTTTGCTATGAGGATTACGAAAGGTTTTCTCCTGATGATATGAACGATGCAGAGTGCTTGACCGAGTTCAGGTTCAGAAAACACGATCTTCCACTTCTCGCCGATGTCCTTCAAATACCAGACAGTTTTACTTGTTACCAAAGAACCGTAACAAGTGGAATGGAAGGACTTTGTGTTCTTCTTAGAGGGTTATCTTATCCCTGCAGATTCAGTGATATTATTCCACGATTCGGCAGACCAGTACCAGTCCTTAGTATGGTCAGCAATCAAGTACTTGACTATATATATGACATTCACGGCCACAGAATCACTCAGTGGAATCACCAAATTCTCTCTCAGCCCTTGCTGCAACTGTATAGCGACACTATTGCTGCCCAGGGTTCTGCCCTAGACAGCTGTTTTGGCTTTGTTGATGGGACTGTTCGTCCAATTTGCAAACCTGGAGAACATCAAAGAGTGGTCTATAACGGGCACAAAAGAGTACATGCTCTGAAATTTCAGTGTGTTGCCCTTCCCAATGGTCTGATAGGTCATTTAAATGGACCAGTAGGTATGAAATTGTTACCTTTGATTTCTTCTGCTTTGATGATTAGTTTTAATTTTTTTTTCTTTCTAATTTTTAGAAGGAAGAAGACACGATGCAGGCATGCTGGAAGACTAAAGACTCCTTAATGACCTCCAAGCATTTGCAAAGTCCCCTTTTGGAAATCCATACCGCATTTATGGTTATCCGGCATACCTTTTAAGGATACACCTTCAAGCCCCTTTTAGGTATAGAGTCTTAACCCCTCAAATGATGGATTTCAATCGATCGATGAGTAGTGTCAGAGAATCAGTAGAATGGCTATTTAATGATGTCACAAACTACTTTAAGCTTCTGGACTTTAAAAACAATTTGAAAATTGGTCTCAGTAGTGTGGGCAAAATGTATGTAGCCAGTGCTTTCCTAAGAAATGCCCTTACATGCCTCTTTGGAAATCAGACCTCCATTTTTTTTTTAACTGGATCCTCCTTCACTTGAAGACTACTTTCCGTAATTACTCCACATCTTTTGATATTACTTTTAAAATTGGATCATGGCAGCTCGAAGCTGCATATGCTCTCCAGTACCCAGAAACACCACCTGGGATTTGTGTAAGTTGAAAAACTAAGAGGATAATGTGATAAAACAACCTAAGTATGAAGGAAGCTAAACTGACATTTTCAAAAGGGGAGGGCACAGGGCAAAGACCTGTGAATCAGGAAACCACCCATGGTAAGGGGGAGGGGTGTGAATGATTTTTCCCCTTACTAAAATTATAGCTAGTTGTACTAGCAACAAAAGATCAGAATAGAAACACAACAACGTGGATGCAAAACAAATATTAATCTGTTCTGTTGTTATGTCACTAAGATGCTAGTTCTACTTAGACTTGAGGCTGAAAACATAAGCAGAAAAAAAAATATCCAGATGTAAACAAGTGAAGCACAATTTAATATACCACATAAAGTAGTAAGTTTCCTGCAGCACAAAAAATATGCAGAGAAAAGTAGTTTAAAACTTTTGAAAACTTGAAATTCTATATTTGCCCACACACTTTAAGTAAAAAAGTTTAACAAAATATGGGTTTTGCAAAGGGGAGGGGCCAGTCTCTTTTTAATCAGTCTAAAACTAAGACACATGAACATGTGTGTTATTTCTCCCACTAAGACATTAATTAAACACAACGTTTTAAAAATGTTGACATTTGTGTCAGTCCCTTTGTGCAAATAGACGTTTCTCCAACTAAGAGTTTATACAACATATTAATTAAACACAACGTTTTCAGATGCTGACATTTGTGTCAATCACTTTGTGCTAGTAGACTTTTCCAATAAAGCCACCAGTGACTGATTCTGTTGTTGTAGCATCTTCATCATTTCTAACTGCTGCTTGTGCATTTGACTCCGTTGGTCCACCAACATCTGCTGCTTAGTTTTATCATAGGGGTTGACAATATCATAGGGGTTGACAAGCCTGACTCACGCTTTCCACCCACGTGTTTTAGCCTTTAAATCTCAGAGTTTAGTTTTTACGAGTATATCTTTCAGAGACCTTCCTCGTTTGTATGATATAAGTGGAGGTTCTTTGTAGATCTGTCTAAGAAGAGTTTGTTTCTCTATCAGTTGCCAGTGTTTCATAACAATGCTTTTAAGGCTGTGAACTGATGGTTGATACTGCGTGACAAAGGGCAAAATGGTTTTTTCTCTTGGTGGTTCTTGTCGGAGAGCTTCTTTCCTGTTCTCAAAGTGTATTTCAGAGAGAGTTAGAATTATTAAGTTTCGTGGATAACCTCTCTCTCTAAGGTGCTTCTGGAATTCTTCTAGTCGGTTTTGAAAGTTTTCTTTTGAGGAATTTGTTGTGAGTAACCGGAGGGCTTCGCCTTTTATAAAGCCCTTCTTGACCCCTAAAGGGTGGCAAGACGTGAAATGTGTATATTGGAAAGTTTCAGTAGGTTTAAAATGCGTTCGTATGTCGAGAATTGACGTACTGTTAAACCGCTTTGCCTTTGGACACAATTGTATCCAGAAATGTGACTTTTTCCTCAGAGATTTCTGCTGTGAATTTACTAGTGGCGTGGTGATTATTTGCTTGTTCAGTGAAGTGTGTTGTTTGTTCTCTTCCGGTACCCCAGAGAGAAAAGATGTCGTCTATATATCTTTTCGAACAGATAGGCTTTATTGCGCTCTTTTTTAATAACTCTGTTTCTACTTTCGCCATGAAGATATTTGCAAAAGCAACAGCGACCTTTGTTCCCATCGCTGTCCCGTGTGTTTGGAGGTAATTTTTTCCAAAAAAATGGAATGAATTTTCTTTTAAAATGAGTCTGAGCGTTCGTTCAAGTGACCGTGTTGGAATCGGGGGTTTATCTTTGTAGTGAGTAACATATGCTTTGCATATAGTTTTGATCCCCTCTTCCTGTGGAATGTTGGTATATAGACTTGTCACGTCCATTGAAACAATGATCGCGTGCTTTGGGACTTCTGTGCTTTCTATGAAATCAATGAAGTCTGTCTTTGTGCTATAGGTTGCAACAGCCTATCAAGAAATGCTGACATTCTTTCTGTTGGTCCGTCACAGCCTGATATTATTGGCCTACCTACTGGTGTAGGCTTGTGAATTTTTGTTAGGGTGTAGAATATGGGAATTCTAGGCGGGCTCGGTGTTTGTGACAGCCATTTTTTTGTCATGTCATCAATGTTTTTATTTTCATGTAGTTCTTGTATTAGTTTTTTCACTGTATACTGAGTTTCCTTAACCATCGGTTCATCCAAAGGTCTATAGTGTTTCGAGTTGTCAAGTAGCGTTTGACACTCGTTTATTTTGTTTTCTGTGTCCATAATAACGACACAGGAACCTTTGTGTGCTTTTTTCACATTTAGATCTTTTTTTTTAAAAAGATTGCAGTGCTTCTCGTTCTTTTGATGACAGATTGTTTTTTGGCTGTGACAGTTTAATTTCTGCCAGTTGTAATTTAACCTCTTCAAGATAACTTGAACCGAGGGTTGAGCTTGTGGTATCCAGTTTGAATTTACGTGATAAGGATGTGGTTTGTTATTTTGCCCATGAAAGATATATTTCAGGCGCATTCTTCTCGCAAATTGCTCAAAATCCTGAAGAAGTTGACGCCTGATATGTTGTTCTTTTGTTAATGGTGTGGGTATGAATTTTAACCCTTTAGAGAGTAAATTTATTTCATGGTCTGTGATGTTTTTGTTTTTGTTCGCCAAGGACGCTTGGACCGATGTCACTAACTAATAATTTCTCCTCCTGGTGTTGAGGTGTAAATAGCCCTTTGTTTGTCTCGATCTCTTGTTATCTGACGAACTGTCTTGTCGCCTCACTTTGTGAAATAGAAACAATCCTTAGCTGTATGTTATTTTAGTATGGCTACTAAAAGGACATAACAAAGGAAGCAAACACATCTAAAACTAAGCCGCGCGTGTCACGCAATGTGCCAGACAAGCGAAAGGTCCAAAAGTCCTCTTTGCCTCGTAAATATAGTTATAGCTTCCCCATTAACATGCAACCCCCTTAACTAATAATGCAGTGCAACATGTAAGAAATAGATGAGGCGCTTGGAAGACATCAATAATGATTTTTTTGTTAATCACATCGACACACAGGTCATCACCCTGGCAGCGACTGGGATGCTTTAGCAGTGATACATCAATGTTACATACCTCTTGTGTCGCAGGAGCAAAACCTGAATTGCCAGGAAGGCTCGGAAGGGATACCAAAGCTTGGTCAACCGCCCTTTCTACGGCTCTAGA